AGTAGCTGGGATTACAGGCGCCCGCCACAACGCCCGCCCAGTTCAGCCAGGGCCGGGTTTGAACCCACTACCCTCAGCATATGGGGCGGGCGCCCTACCCACTGAGCCACAGGCATGCCTGTGCCTTTATTTCTTAAGGGCTCACTCAGCTCCATTTCAAGTTGTATATAGTTAGGGACAGTTGAGAGGGAGTAACAGATTCAGAAAGTTTTAAATAGGAGAAAAATTGAGGAGTGAGCCGTTCAATTAGATTTCTTTCTTCCCTTTATGGAAGAATTCACAAGTCAAGTTTCTGTTTAGGCAATGTTGGGAAAACCTATTCTCATTTTATTTACTTACCAAACATTTATAAGGCATTTAATCTCTTCTAGTTCCTACAAATGTTGATTCATTTGCCATAACCACCTTGGGGTAAGAACAGAGAGGTTTGACCAAGTGCAGGTGATAACCAGCAAGGGACGCAGGAGCAGAGCTGCGGGCCTGCGGTTGTTTAGGGACACAGGCTCTTACCCCCGGGACTGGGCTGAGCAGAACCCTACGCTGGAGACATTAAACCCTCTTAACCTCATAATAAATCAAAATAAACTCGCTAAAACTTCTAGGGAAAAAGCAATAAAGACTCCAGGTTAACAGACTTTAAGGTTCCTGATCCGAAAACTGAAACATGCCAATGTTTCTAAGAGAGAAAGGGGGACCAGCAGGGAACACGAGGAAGTTCTGCAGTGAAGGGATGTGATTTACTGTGACCTGGAGTTTCCTGTCTCATCCTCAGCGTCTGTTCGCTGCTTCAGGGTGAGGCCGCTCGCACCCCGGCGCCCACTGCCCAGTGCCACGTGCCCTGCGGTCCAAGGGCGCAGAGGAAGGTGAAGCCAGGCGTGGGGGGGCTCGGGGGGCTCGGGACCTGGCCCCTCCGCAGCCTCAGAGCAACAGCAGCTCCTTATTCAAATCTGGACCCACCCCCACCCCCGGAAAAGGAGCTCTGCAGGGAATTTCGGAAGTTCCAGCATTTCAGAGGGAGGGAGGAAGGAATGGGGTAGGAAAGAGGCGTTCAGGGTGCAGCCCGGTGGAGCCCGCTCTTGACACTGGTTCCTGTCCCACCACATGGAAGTGTGAACAGGTCGTCTGAGTGCCGGGTCTGATAACTAAGCAGACGCACTCCCTTCCTCTAAGGAATAGAAATGTCCCCTGCCCGTGGTCTCCCGCGTCCGCCCCAGCTCCTTCCCCTATCCCCGCCCTACTGGCCCGGGTGGCAGGGGCGGCACCTGCAGCGCTCCAGCAACTCACTCCTGCCCTGGGGATTTGGGGCCCAAAGCGAATATTCCAGAGTCCTCAGCAGCTAAGCGGGAGGGGACGGCAGGGGAGGCCAGGAGGTGCCCCCACTGACCCCGAAGGGGCGGCGTCTCCTCTGGTCTCGGCACCACCCGCAGCTCGGGGAATTCCCCGGCCGGGGGCTCCGGGCTGTCCCGGCCCAACAGCACATAAAAGGGGTTCCCGGCCCGGGAGCCGCACAGCTCGCACCTCAGTGCCACAGCCCGACAGCCGTCTCCACCGCCGTCCCCGCTGTCTTCGCCGCGGTCTCCGCTGTTCCTGTCGTCTCCCCGCTGCCATCCCCGTCGTCCTCGCCACCGTCCTCGCCACCGTCCTCGCCGCCGTCCTCGCCGCCGTCCTCGCCACCTTCTCCTCCTTCTCCGCGGTCCTCGCCACCTTCTCTGCGCCCATGGCCCGCGCTGCCCCCCGCACCCCCCGGCTCCTGCGGGCCGCGCTGCTGCTCCTGCTCCTGGTCGCCGCCGGCCGCCGCGCAGCAGGTGGGACCCGCGTCCTGGGACCGGGCGGGCGGGCTCCAGGGCGCCCGCGGGGACAGCGCGGCTGACCGTTCTCTTCTCCCTTAGGAGCGCCCGTGGTCGCCGAGCTGCGCTGCCAGTGCCTGCAGACCGTGCAGGGCATTCACCTCAGGAACATCCAGAGTGTGAAGGTGACGCCCCCGGGCCCCCACTGCGCCCAGACCGAAGTCGTGTGAGTGTCACCATCCTCCCCTGCACTCCTGACCACCCCCTCCACCCCTCCCCACCCCCCGACCTCCTGGCTCACCGGACCCTCCCTTCTCTCCGCAGAGCCCAGCTCAAGAACGGGCAGGAGGCTTGTCTCAACCCCGCGGCCCCCATGGTCAAGAAGATCATTGAGAAGATGCTGGACAAGTGAGTGCGGGTTTGGTCTGGCCCTGTCACAGTTCTGGCCTCTGCCCCCTGGAAATTATATCAGGGAAGCTCGGAGATTAGCTGAAGGACTAAAAGTTGTGATTTTTTTCCTAATCAAGTTTGCCCTTAAGATGATTAGTTCCCTCTGCTGCCAGGGCTTTCTCTGTGTGCCCCCCACCCCCACCCTATTCCCGTTTTAAGGAACGGCTTTCCTTAAAAATTCTCATTGGTGTTGGCCTGTTATGCGGAAAAGCTTTTGACGTGTTAAGAAACATTATTTTACTCCCCCTTCCAGTGCCTTCTGGACTTCAGACCCTTGGTTCTTTGCGACATGCACCCTAAAGCTTAGCGACTAGGAGCAGGTGTTCTGTAGTGAAAAGCTCGGTACCAATCTGGGTTTCTCTGCTTTTAGCCATGCGCATCAAGGCCACAGTACTTGTCTAGGCCTCCATGAAACCCAGGAAAGATACTGGCTCCTTTATGAGGCTGCTCTAAGGCCCAGGATGACAGACTGTGAGGACCAGAGCAGAAGGTTCTGGCTGTCCCCAGCCAATGACAAAGCTGAGATCAGACCACCTCGCTCCACTCCTATTCCTCAATAATTAGAATTTCCAAGAGTCTAGAGGTCTCTGCCACACAGCACAGCTGTCACGGGCAGCAGCCGCTCGGGTGTGGGGCTGGGCAAAGTCTTCAGAAACCCGGGTGTCTATGGTGGCAGGACAGGAGAAGCTTGCAGCCAGCTTTCCTGGGCACTTACAAGGACAATCATTTTCTCATTACAGAGGTAACTCCAACTGACCAGGGGTCAGAAGAAGCTCACCTGTGGCTGTTCCTGGAGCAGGTCCTGCCTCCATAGGGAGCAGAGGAAAGGAGAACCGTGTATACGCATCTCTTATGGGAATTTTTCTATTTATTTATTTGTGTGTTTTTAATGATTCTGTGTTAGTATTTTACATGCAAAATGATTAAGGATGTGATTGAATTTACTTACACACTATACCATTATATTTATTATTTCATGTCAAACTTCTGATTCTTATTTAATTTGAAGGTAAAAGGTTTTCAGATGTTCTCCACTCATTATACCAGTATTTCTGAGGTGCTCACGGTGGGTCAGCCACCGTGACAGAGGCAGGCGGACCTGAGAGCAGGAGAAATCTACCTCCACTTGTGCTTCTGAAACTGCTTACAAGAATGTCATTTGCTATTTATTGAAATGATTTTGCAGTGTGTGGTCAACATTTCATGTTGAAGCTTTGAGAACTGTAGTTCTGAATATCCCTTGGACATTTGACGTCTTTCTTGTAAGGCACAATGCCTTGTTTAATGTTAATGACAGTGTTTATGTATTAGAACAAAGAGGCTTAAATATTTATAAGTGTTTTCACAAAGAACATGACAATAAAATATTTAAAAACAAATAATGGTTATTTTATTTGGGGGGTGAGAGGCTATTTTTACTGGAGACCCTGAGGATTTCCATGGATGTTTTACAACTTTTTGCCCTTCCTGGGCATTCAGTTTTATAAAAAGATAAATTAAAGTATGAGTCACGGCTACTTTCAACTGGTGACAGCTGTCCCTCCCCTTCTTCTTACCTATCCGAGAATGTGCTTTCCCAAATTGCAGGCTGACCCCTGATGAGGGGCTCACTGATATTGCTGTTTTCTTAAGAAGTCCCTTAATACCTTGCTACTCAAGTTTACCTCCTTCAAAATATTTACATTCTTACAGCTATCTTAACAAGAGTTCTCACGTCATTGCTTCTGCTAAACATTTTTCACACTATTGTTGACAACAAAGCTGGCAGTGAAACTGGAGGGAGAGGGGATTTTTTTTTCTTCAGAACTGAAATAATTTGTTTCATAAATTCAAGCAGATGAAATGAGTGGCTTAATACTTCACCTCTGAAAAGATATCATTGAGATTGTTTATTCTGAGCAAGCCCTCAGGGGACTTTGTGGTCAGGTTGCCCCAGTGATACAGCACCTCAGGTTTCTAAGAGAGACCAAAAGTTGTCATGGCAAAGGAAGAAAGACCCCAGTAATCTAAAAGAAAGCATGCTCCAGACCTGAAAAGGTGGGGGGATTGTGCGTGAGTTTGCCTTTGATTTATAACTCATTCAGGAAATCCCAGCCCGAGGCACCCACCTCCAGCAGACTCAAGAACGCAAGCCTGGCAGCCTCATGCTTGAGATCAAACTGGTTTGTCCCAAGTATCTGGGTAAATAAGGGCCCCAAGTAGCAACAAAGAAGGTCTGCAAGCCTTTTCCACAGCTGAAAAGTTACAAAAGTTATAAACCATAAACTCTTTGTAATGCCAAGGTTATTAGTTAGTCACGCATAAGATGAGAAAAAAGAAAATTCGTAAGCTGTGAACAAATAAATAAAAGGAAACATTTGTAGGGCTCCGGAAATGCAGCATTCCCTGTAACTCCCAGTTAGAGGACAACACTGGAAAACGTTAGGCGTGGTGCCCCAAGGCTCCATGACATCACACCTCCCACCCAAAGCTGGTTCTGCCCTCAACCGTGCCAGAGCCTGCTTAGCTGGGCAGTTAGCTCCTGTGGAGCACAGGGATGTGAAGAAGACAGAGGCCATGATTTTGTTCACCTGGGGATAAAGGTCCATGTTGGAGTCTTTCTAGCTCTGTCACTGTGACCTTGGGCAAGAATTTTAACTTAGCTCAACCTCATTTCCCCTCCTCCACAACAAGGGAGCCACCCCCTGAGTTGTGGGGATAATCGGGTTATTCTCTTTGGTCCTCAAGTCACCTCTGTGGGCATTGTCTCAGGATGGTTCAGGCCAGTGTGTAGGCAAATTATAGTTTGCACATCAAACTGCCTGAGACCTTGGAAGGGCAAGGCAGGCCGTTGGGAGCACTACAGCAGGAAGGGGCACAGGGTGTGTGAGGTGGTGATCACGGGGTGAAGGAAGTACGAAAAGAAGACAGGTGACACATCACAGTTCTGAGAAGCCATCAGCAGGAAACAGCAAGGCCACGCACGGTGACTGAGGTTTCCTGAGCAGCGTTAGCCTGGGCTGGGGAAGGAGAGTGGGAACGTGGCTGATGCTGCGTCATGTGAGTCCTGAGTTGGGAGTAAACTCCCGAGAGGCATAGAGGCCATCGCAGGCTACAGAAGTAACTGGAGAGGTGTTTGGGGAAGGGGAAGGGGAAGGTGGCAGACCCACAGGAGCACAGTGGGGTTTCTCCAGAGCAAGGGGCCATACTGTGTCATCTACTAATAAGGAATAATAAGGAGTAGGCTTGTCCTGTCTTCACCACTGCCGCCCACTCCACGGCCCTCCACTGGCCAATGAGTTCAGCAATCACAATGGGCCACAGCTTCCTAACTGAAGCTCCCATCCGTCTGCTTCTCCTGGTGGGGCCTTCTTCATCTGGGGATAAGAAAGAGGGCTTGGCAGAGAAAGTTTTCTCAGCCCATGAGAAGGATGGCCTATGATTTAATACCCCCTGAGTCAAATCTCACAGAGGGACGGGAATTAATGGGTTAATATTCTATTTTCCCAGGTTTTTGGCTGAATAATTCTAGAAATTTTTCTCTCTTTCTATATTACGTGTAAATATAACAAAATAAAATTTGTAGACATACAAATTTCTTTTTACTTTAAAATAAGCATAAAGTAGACATATAAAATACACAAAACTTCCACTTACCTCTTCATTATGTTCACACTTTCTTTTAACCCCCTGAAAATATTTATAATAGCTATTTTAAAATCCTTTTCTGTTTCTTCTCTTGTTATTTCATTTCTGAGTGTTTATTAAGTGATTTCTCCCCTTGCTGTGGTTCATGCTATTCTACTTCTAAACATGCAGAGTAAGTCTTGACGGGCTGCAGAAAACTTTGAATCTTACATTGCTGAGTGTTGAGATTTTGTTTTCTGTCTTTAAAGTCTAGGTCTCTGTTCCAGTGGGCAGTCTGTCAGCCTGATCTTTTTGAGGCTTGCTTTTCAGCTTTATTGGGGGTGGGTGGAGGTGGGTCTAGAGAGTGTTTCTTGCTCTAGGGTGTTCCCTGACTGCTACAGAGTCTCCTCTCTCTGACCAGTCAGAGCTCAGATACCTCCCTATTCCATTGAGATCTGAGAATTGCTCAGCTCTCACGTGTCTGGCCACTGCCTGACTGACAGGGTTTCGCCCTATGCAGGGTAACTTGGTATCCATCAAAGAGGGTTCTGGAGCTCTGTTTTACTGCACAGATCTCTCTTTTCTACAACTCCTTTTCTTAAATTCTAGCCACTCCACTTTCCCTGAGTTTGAATCTGTGTCCCCTCAACTCAGTAAGACTCCCATGAACTTGGAATCTCCCTCCCTGCAGAGGGGTCCAGAATCCCTCCAGAAGAAAAGAGGGAGTGGTCACACACTGTGCTTTGTTTATTTCCTTTCTTAGAGGTCGTAGTGCTTTGCTGCCTTTTGTCCAGCATCTAAAAACAGTTGTTTCATGTGTGTGGTTGGCTTTTGTAGCTGTTTGTGGCAGAAGTTAGGAGTGCCCTTCTACTTCCAGGTCACCAGACATTGATGCCTTGGTGGGTCAATTCTGAGGAACATTTTACAAAGTCCCTCTGAGGCTACATAGCAAATTAAGCCCTACTTACCAGAGGGCTAACTCTCTCATTCGTTCATTAGCTTTACTCTCTCTCCAGGCTCACATTCTCCCTCACTTGCTCTTTCTATGATCATTCTGAACTACTGCACATAAATCTTTATATCAGACTCTGTGTTGGGAGAGCCCAAACTTGGACAATTAGGTTACCAAGAAATTAGACCTTAAGGCACAGACATATCCACTACCTTTTTTTTTTCTTTAAAGGAGTATAATATCAAAGAATCAGGAAGAAGGAAAATGTGAAGTGAGACAGAAACAAGTGAAAGTTAATAGGAGGGTGTATAAGCACAGTGATCATTGCTAAGCACAGCTGAGTTCTTAACCTCTTAAGCTTCCCAGGGGCTATTGTGAGTATTTGCTTCCTTATTCTGTAGAGAC